GCGCTGGCCCCGGAGCTGCTGTGTGCATTGGCTGCGCTCTTTGCAAGCTGCAGATATTGCATCTTTGCAAGCTGCAGATATTGCATCCAAGCTCTTCGTGCCACTCCAGAAGGGACCCTACGGAGCAGCTATAACTACTCTTAACGCGGCTTTCAAGGACCATTTTAAGGACCCTTGGTGGCACCGGAACAGAATCCAGTTCCCGCTGCCCCTCTGAAGATCTATCCCTCCTCCTGCTGCCCCACTTAGATTTTGTGTGCAAAGAAGCAAAAAAGGAGAAGAAAGGGAAGGGATAAAAAAAATTGCAAAAGGCAAGGATTTGATGAACATCAGGAAAGGAATAAATTGGATCAGATTACTGCTCTGATGAGAGTTTTTTTTCTTTTTTTTTTTTATGAATAGGCCCCAAAGATAGAAAGGCGTTTAGCAATCACCAGGATTCAGCCCTCGGATTCATTGCACGTTAGACTGGGAAAAAATAGGTCGCTGATTGCATTATTAATCACATCCACCAGCACCGCATCTGCGCAGCGGCTGCGGCAGAGACGCTCCGGGCCCGGCTCCGGAAGGGCTAAATCCGGGTTGTGTCCTGGGATGCTGCTCACTCCGCCACCGGCTTCGGTCTTTACTTATAGTGAAGGTGCATGAAATCTGCCCCCGTGTTTTAAAGTCTCCCACCTGGATGGTGGGAAGAGTGGAATCCGGGATATTCCCACTCCTGAGGATGTGTTAAGGCGGACGGGGTACCGGCTGAGTGGGAACAGCAGCACGGGGTGGCTATGGGTTTTGCCCCGCTCCGGCTGGACCGGGAATGGGAATGTCCACCCAACTGCCAAGCCACCAGTCCCATTCCCATCTCGTCCCTGGAAGGGGGCATCCCTGCTCCAGGCGCTGCTGCCGGAGGAATCTCCTCCGGGCCAGACCCGCTGGCTGCTCCGGAGGCAGCGGGAGGCCGGGAAGGAGGAGGGAGGGCGGCGGGAGGCGGATGAGCGGCCTTGGCGAGGACACGCGCCCGGGGCTGGGCGCGGTGCCGGCGGCGCCCCTG